CTAGCTGACTGGGAGAAGAGGCCAAGCCCCATCAAGCTATGACATCCTTTTCCACTCAACCACTCTGCCTGCAGCATCATATGCTTCATACAACATATATATCCATCCATATGTATGTATAAAAGATAAATTGATGCAATGGAAGAGTACAACCGAATACTACACCAAAACAAAGCATGAAATAAGCTCTTTTATAAGTCAGACTCAGGCAAAATTAAGAGAATAAATATGATTTTAATAATTCACAGTCATATAGGGACAAAGATAAATCAAAGAGTTTGCAAATGTTTGTGTCAGCAAATAAAGACAAGAACGTAACTTAAAGAAAGGAAAACAGGCAAAATACAATAGTGTTGTATGTTGCTTATTCAGAGATTTTATTTTATACAAAATTATTGCTTTGATAACAGTTACCCACCTAAAAAAAGTGGACCTTGTTTAATTGCAGTGCCCTGGGATAAGATATGCTATGCTGCTCTTCCTTAGGCAGAGTTCCCCTGGCACAGTCTAAGGGCATTTTTGCATCATGAAAACTTAACTTGCCAAAGGAGAGCCCAAAATTGCCTAGAGAAACAGCTATTGAATGTGAACAAGTCGAACTTCAGTCTGCATACAACTGTGGTGGTTTTCTTTGCAGGTTTTTCAGGAGGTTTTTGAGGAATCAAAGAGCAAAAAGCTGTGAAAACACATTTTTTAAAAGTCTGTCCTGAACAAACCTTTCTTAACAGTACAGGCTACAAAAGGGGAAGGATCAACACACACTCCCACACACCTCTACACCTCTATCACAAGCCCAGTTCTGAGAGATCTGGTCTGCAAATGCACCACTGCCCTCCCTTTCCCCTTCCTTAAACTCCTGTATGCAGGAGAAGTACTTGCAATTCTAATGTGCAAAGTGTCTGCATTTCTCATATTCTAGACCGAACATCAGAAAATGTCATTAAGAATAAAATATTCATTTTAATGAAAGCAGTAAGTTTACATTCTAAATACATTACACATTTTTTTTCCTGCTATGCCTGCCATTACAAATACTCCCAATCCTTTAAAAATGTTTGCTTAAATATATACAGCATATATAAAGGGGATAAACTACCTGCTATGATATTTGTCCTTTCGCAGGACTGGGTAAGGGAGAGAGAGGGAGGAAGGAGAAGGAAGGAAAATCTTGACAAGAATATGTATGAGAGCAATCAATAAAAAAATAATCCTTGGAATTCATGAGTCTTGAAAATAAGATGCATTTTCTTGTAGTAATCCTAAAAACCTATAAAAGAATATTCAAGCAATAAACCCCCCTTAACTCATATTTAACCTTTCATCATGTAGAACTACATATTAAATAGCTTAGCAACTGCATGCTGTGTAAGTGCATTCAAATAAGAGCAGAAATAGAAGAATGTAAATGCTACACCTCTTTTAACATGCACTGCACAGCCCAGAACATCTGCCAGCTGACCCCCTAATCCAATCGGCTGTACAGAAGCAATCATATCCTCAGATAAGAACTGCACAGCTCCTACATGCAAAGCCCATTTACTTGAAGAGAGCAAAATGTAGTTAGCCAGCTCTTCAACAATTTTCAAACAGAGGTACGAGGCGAAAGTAATTCTGCATATTACACGGAGCTGCATTAAAATACTGTCATCTCTTCCCCCAAATATTGTAATTCATCCTTTAATTTCACAGGGCAACACCACAGACAGAGTTTAAGCCTGAAGTGACTACATCGAAATGAGTGATTGTATCAGAATACCAAGTGCATGCAGCCCACACAAATGTTTAGCACTTCTATGAGAAAATAACCTGGAATAAAATCTGGAAGGGCTCAACCTGGTCCATTATTACAAGGAGAAGAAGAAATACAAAAAACCTCAATTCATTCTCCTAACTCTGAGTTTACTTCTTAGATCTACTGCAAAAAGCACGGGCTGCTTGAGAGGCTGTATAGGCAGATGAAGACATCCAAAAGAATGGCTTCAAGATGCTCCACAAGAGTCAAAACCTCTGTGGAATTAAGAGCATAAACCCCATGGAATATCACAGAGTAACAGGATGTGTCATTACTTCTGTATGAAATCAAATTTCTGCTAAGAAGGTTCATCCTAAACACACAAACAAGCTGCACTACACTGACTGAACTCTGACTCTAGGAGCACTGCCTTTTATGGAACACTTTATGTGACTCAAATAACTACTTATAATCATCAAATAAATTGTTTTGATCATGCAAATTGTCCCTCTCTCCAAAGCAGTAGCTTTCTTAAATATCTGTATTGGCAGAACCCCAGACATGGTGGGAATCAGTAAGAGAGAATTGCTGGAACAGTGTTCCAAGTAACACTCTCTGTAGTTAGATTTATGTCAAATATCTGAAAGGCATTGAAAACCAAAAAGACACACAGGGGTCTGCCAAGAAGCCTAGACAACACCCTCTGCAAGGAGAGGGTGAAAAGATTATTTATTTTAATGAGAAATTTTGTATTAAATATTAATTATTTTTAATGAGAAAAAGACACAGTCTGACTGAGGCATTTAATTATAACACACTGGAAAAATGAAGGGCTCTCCAAAGTAATTGATTAAACAATAACAAGACTCAACCTCAGAAGTGATAATTAAAAAAAAAAAATAAAA